CCGCTGTCACTTTTAGGTTTACAAACTCGCATGTAAATATTCAAGTTTTGTCAGTCAGATTTTATACAGTTTTACATGCCTGTTAACTAAGATAGTCCGTTTTTCTTAATACTTTTAAGTTAGAAAAGATAACGGATTTTAAATAAGAATGGTTTTTCAGTAGCACCTCGAACTTTTATTTTGCAAGATTGATACATATTTTTAGAAAAGAAATTGCGAAAATTTGACTCTGATTTTATTAAGCTAGCGGGGTGTTACAACCAGTGGTTTTCAAACAGTTGCTCTGAGCAGGGGTCCTTCTCTTCCACATATATAAAGGTCTCTTCCTCAGGTTGTAAGAACACTCATGCCCCCATTGACTCCCTTTGAATCATTTTTACCATATAGTTTGTTTCTTCAATATCCATTACAGCACCAATACAATTCTCAGTAATCACCTCCTCACAACCTTGCTTCTCCTCTGTGCAAGAAACAGAAGCCTCCTTCCTACCCCCATCAATGTTAGTAACTGAGTGAAGCTCTGTTGGTTGGTGCCTATCTTCAGAATTGCCATGGCTCCTTTCCCTCTCAGAGTGAATTATTTTGGGAGATGAATTATCTGAGACCCGCGAGTCCTGAATGGCATTGGTTTAGGGGTGTTAGTTTTGTCCCCTGAATGGTCATTGAAAGAACTCCTACCCTCGAAAAATGTTTCACTAGCCTTCATCCAATCCCCATATTGTCCCTCCACCACACATTTCCCTTCTATATCTGCTTCTCTTTTTTTACAGTTTCTTTTTAAGTGGCCAATCATGCCACAGTAATAGTACAAATTCACAAGCTTCTCATACCTGAAAGCCACCATTACCTTCTGATTCCCCAGTTTGACAGAAGTGCACCGAGGTATGGGTTTGTTTATGTTCATTGCCACTAGGATTTTGATAAGGCTCCCAACATCCCCTCCAACTTTGCAGACGTTTGAATTTTTAACTTTGTTAAAAATCTATCCAATTTTGATACCCACTTCTGTGCTCATCCAGTTCAATGGCACATTTAGAATCTGCACCCATAAATTAATCTCCTCAAAACAGTTGTGGTCGCTTTGGAGGCCTGGGAACCATTCTTTCAGAGTAAGGTATTGGTTTTCATACATCCAGTTGTTCCCTGACCCAACCTTCTTTATGTCCTCTTGAGATAGAAAAATAAATTGGAAGAAATTTTCACTTATCTCCTTCACTTCTATGGAATTCTGCATTCTCCAGATAGATCACATCATCCGCTTGATACCCAATAGATCTGCGTGTCTATCTCCCACAATTTTTCCACATAAACTTTGGCAACATTCCTCCTCGCTGGATTTGATATCATCCGTTTTGATTTCCACTACTCCAGCTTCCGTAGAAGATAACGACATGTGAAGGAGTTTGCGAATCACTCCTTCCTCCACATTACCGCTAGGATTATCTCCTGGCGACTTATCCCCCATTTGAACTTAAAAAGCTAAGAACACCCAAACCCCTAAAAAACCCCCAAATCTCTGACAACCTATGAAAATGATCCTCCTAGAAACCCCCTCCACTGCCAAACAATAGAAGGAAAGAAGAAGGACAGTCGAACCCCGATTAACCTCTCACCCGAGAGAAATCAACACTCACCCGAGAGAAATCGACACTCACCCGAGAGAATTTTGCTCTCACCCGAGAGAGTTTTGCTCTAATATTTCATTTTCTTAAGGTAAACAAAATATATAAAGTTTGGTAACTATGATAAAATAAAATGAACAATGCTATAAAATAATATAGAATTAATATAAATTAAAATAAATTATAAAATATAAAAATAATCTAAAATAAGTACAATAAATATTATTATTTTAATTGTAATTTTTTATATCTAATTATAATTTTTTTAATTATTTTTTTAATATAATAAATTATTTTAATTATTTTTGTTTCATTTAATTTTATATAATTTAGTTTATTATATCTTAATTTATCATAAGTTTATATTTTAATAATTTAATTTAATATAATTTATATTTTCTTCTAAATTAAATTTCATTTATCCATTCGTAACGCATATATATTAAAATTTACTACATGTAACACACATTCTTGAGTAGTTTGGTGGTTGTTTGCTTGCCATGCTCATAGAGGAACTTAGGTTCGAATCCCACAGGCGAAATTCTTTTTAATTTAATTTCTCGCAATATATATAATATATCGTGATAAATTTTTATCGTAATCATATGTATAATATTCCGAGGGTATAACGGGATTTTTGGAAAAAAAAGTTAACACCGTTAACAGGGGAATTGAAAAAACAGAGCGTGTGCAACCAATGTTCTGAAAACCGGACCAGTCATCGAACCGGATAAGTTATTGGTTCAATGATTCACTGGTTGAACCAATGGTTAAACCTGTTGAACCGTTATTTAATTTATTGACATATTTATTTATTTTTTTATACGAAACGATAGAAATACTATTAAAACTCAAGCGAACAAAGTTCGAAAGTACAAACCAATCCGAAAATAAAAATGAGAGGACACGCATGAAGCGGCCTAGAACCTCAAACAACTACCAAATAAACTAACAACCGACCCCAAGAAAAATAACCTCCACTGCAAATGCCTAGAGGAAAAAGGGGAATAAACTGAAAACACCAACCAGAAACAGAAATCCAAGAGCAGAAAAACAAAACAGCAAAAAACATCGAAGAATTATTTACAACGGACCAAA